TTTTTTTTTGTTTCCTGAAAGTTGTTACTTCCTTTCGTTGTGGACCATCAACGCTTGCGTTTTTATTTTTTGCGATTTCATTTATTTTTCACTTCGCACTCTTGTCATTTTTTGCCCCCACTGGAAATTAAAAATTTATTTGCTTTGTGATATGCAAAAGTTGCAACTACTGTTAGTGCTCTGCTTCACTGTTCGACTGCTTTGTTTGCTTGGCTGTCGGCGCTTGTTGGTCGTTTGTCTGTCTGCAAGCTCTCGATTCTATTTACTGTTGCACGCTTGCTGCTTTATTTTTACTGCGGCGTTTGTTGTTGCTTTCGTCGCTGTTGTCAGTTGTCCCTTTGCTGTTAACTCTCAAGCACTACACATCCTTGCTTATCCTTCGTTTTTCGCCCTTTTGTTGTTTTTGTTTTACCACTTCTTTTCCCATTTGCGCCATTCCGCTTGCATAATTTTGTTGCTTTTGCGTCGCGTCGCTTCGGTTTATCAGTTTTTCGCTTTTATTTATTTATGAAGTGCCCGCCTGTGTGCCCATTACCAGCACTTGCGTCTGCTGTTGCTTCCCTCGGCGCCATTTTCCCACTGTCGATGCGTCGTCGTTTCGCTCCTCCGTTGCTTTTTTTCCTCTTTCCACGCCCTTTGCGTTGTGGCGGCCAGCGTTGGCGATGCGTTTGTGGTGCACGTCTGCGTTGCTATGTGCGTCGTTGAGGAAGTGCGTGCGGCGTGATTGCTGACTCCTGCTGTTGTTCGAGCTCAAAGTGATGCTCTGGCTGTGGCGGAGGCGGTGGCGGATGTGGATGTGGATGTTGCTGGTGATGACGATGCTGGTGGTGATGGTGGTGGTGGTGGTCTTGATGATGCTGGTGCTGATATCGCTGTTGATGCTGAAGATGTGTGTGATGGTCGTGATGTTGGTGATGCTGGTGTTCCTGTTCGCGATATTGCTGCTGTTTTTGTTTTTGTTGCTGTTGTTGTTGCTCATCTTGTGTGTAATATTGTTGCCAAGCCCGTCCAAATACTGGCGCTGCCAGCTGCTGCTCTCGATAGCCATAATGCAAATTTTTCTCAACTTGCCACTCCTCCACTTGGCTGTGTTGCTGTTCTACCTGGTCGCCTTGCTTCTCCTCAAGTGCATTTTGCTGCTGCTGCTGCTGCTCATTGCTTCCGTAATATTTCGCCTTTTCGTCGTCGCCTGTGCTGTGATCAACGTCGCCATTATGGTCGCCCTCGTCGCTGTCGTGGCCATAAAAACCAAAATCAGCAATAAAAATATTTTCATTCGACACAACCATACTTTCGACGCCCTTTTTGTTGTTGTTTTTGTTGTTATTATTGTTGTCACGCTCGATGGTCGCACGCATGCCGTCACCTCTGTCACTGCTGACCGTGCTGCTCTTCTCGCCTCCACGCCAGTTGCTACTACTACTGTCATTGTTTTTGTTTTTCTTGTCACCATTTGCCGGCCTCTTTTGGTTTTGCTCCGCTTGTTGTTGTTGTCGATTATTGTGGCGCGGCGGCAGCATTGCCGGATATGGTATAATGTCTGGTTGCAATTCACTCGACGTCGACGAGGACACTAAATGCTGCTCTTCTTGCTCTGCTTCTGTTGCTTCTTTTATCTCCTGTTGTTCTTGTTGTTGTTGTTGTTGTTGCTGTTGCACGTAGCGATTATCACTCCCATTGTCATCTGCAATGTTTTGCTCGTTGTCCTGCTTGCCAATGCTGTTTGCCATGTTTCTTTTGTCATTGCCACTGCCAGTCGTGTTCGCATTGTTTGCATTGTTGTACGCATTTTTATTGTAGTTGTGCGTTATGGTGCTGATAATGTTTGTCGCCGCATTTTTATTATTGTTGTGGTCATCCACATAGCCACTTGTATGCCAACTACTATCCTGGTTGTTGTTGTTGTTTTCCTGTTTGCTGTTGTAACTATTGCTGCTATTATTGCCGCCTATGTGGCTTTGTATTGTTGCGCTGTATTTGTGTAGGTTGTTGCAGTTTTCCTGTTTCGGTCAAAGTGTGGCGATAATAGGAAGCCATGCGGAAGAAAAAAAGAAAAGGCAGTTAAAAATATGAATTCCATTGCGTTCAATTTTGTATTTATTTTTTTTTTACAGAGAGGAACCCATAAACTCAATAGCTTAAGTGACTTAAATCACATTCTTATATATACATATACATATGTATGTATGTATGCGCTAGGATGCCCCAGAACTTAGGGAAAACATTCGTATTTCCGAAATTCGATACTCATCCCCTGTATGCTTTTTTCGTTGCTCTAGATAGGATATCCTATCTCCGCATGATTTTGAATCAGTAATTTTTTTTTCTCCTAGAAACCAGCCTTTTTCCGTTTGCTCCAGAAGAGTTGTGCAGATAGGCGCTATATATATCTTTAATTTATTACATACTTTTTTTAGGAATCCCAACAAATCTCTCAGTGTAACGTTGACTAAGCTTTCCACCAGAAGTTAGTCTCTTCTTCGCCTTCAGAACTTCTTCACAAAGCGTTATACGCCGTTCCGAACTGACAGCCATGTGACCAATGGCTAGTGTTTCCCTGACATTCCGATAAGAAGCACTATGTTCGATTTACTCTGTGTGTGTACAGCTACTCTGGACTTGGACTGGAGAACAGATGTGGGATTCTGGAAATCGCTAAAACATAGCCCTTAAAATATCCAACGCAAAAGCGGGAGGGCTTCAATATAAAATCGCAAACATTATGGATATGTTATGTGTCGCCCAGAGGTGCCTAAGCCGTATTCATTTAGATGGAAAACTGAATTTTCAAACTGTACCTAATTTACGGAAAGGTTATATATTTTTGCATGTACAGTTCGAGACAAAACTATGTTTTCGAAAAGGTGAATCTCTTTCTTCCGAATTCTTGAATCTGACATTTTAAAAAGAAATACTCTCTCTTTTATCTGGCGTAACTAACTACAGTTACCTTAATTTACAACAAAGAAGGTAGGCTGTTGGGCACCAGAAAATGCCCTAAAATGTGAATAAAAATAAAAAACGATTTCCTGAAAAGTTATTTGACCACATTCGAAATGTACCTAAAAGGATGTGTTTGTACCGAATGTACTTTCAAACTAAATAAAAGTACAATTGAACCAACTTTTCCATCACTGTAGCTAGTCGAGCAGCAGACAGTGTGTGAACACTAAAAAGCGGTAGCTTAATTAAAATGTTAATTGACTCAATTAAATTTCTGTTCGAATTTATTATAAGGCTGTCTAAGTCTATTTAGAACTATGTACACTTACAAATTAAATTTTTTCTTTAATCGTTAGTTATCTGTACATACCTTTTCATTTTTTAATAACGTCGTTAGCAAAGCAAAAGACAATAGGGGTATTCTCCAAATCTTGCAAAGCCATTGCACGTAGCACGG